TTCTGTTCGTTTTGGGTTCACTACAGTTCAGACTCTCAAATTGTCACGGTTCTTAATCTGAACCAAAGAGTCCAAATCTAGCAAATCGTTTTGAGAAAATAGATTTATTGAAAAGAAGTGCCAAACATGGACTGCTTTACCAGATACAGAGTCGCCACCTAAATATTTTATTTTGGAGGAATTTAGGAAACCCTGACTCGGTGCCAAAGGCCACGTGTCCGTCATCACCAAAGTTGCCTCGGCTCGGGAACTTGGGTACGATTGGAGAAGGTCAGCTATGAGCACCCCCGCTCGCCCGATCAAAGATCGGCCTCTACTAACGATGATATCTTGTTTTGAAAACATTATATGCTCTTATTCCGGTTATTAGCCTAGAATTACTGTGTTATGCGCACAGCAAACAAGTATAGACCAAATTGCCTAAATTGGAACAAAACATTGCATGTTTATTTTGAAAATGGTTTGTTACTCGCAAGTAGGCTAAAATGCAGGTTTTGCCACCCTCAAGTGGGCTTTAGAAAAGATGGTTTTGCCACTATTCTAGTGGGCTTAAAACTCACAGTTTTAGTGCATTATTCCAATTTAGGTAATCCAACCTTCACCCACAGGCATTCAGGCAGTTATAACACGTAAGCACATAGCCTCATGGTAAGCATGCTATTATGGCAACACTCACACGCATGCGGTATGCTACAGCGTAAATGCTTACCTGGTACTCCGAGCCAAAACAAAAGCTAGTTAGTAATCAATGCATGATCCTAACTCATGTTAAGATGGCTAATCCAACACATACAAGATGCAACTACAATAGGCTTGGCTATTCTAAGATGGCATGTGATGATGCTATGACTAACATGTATTCAACTTTGGAATTGAAATACAAATGCAGTTAGTATGATGCACCGAGTCCGGTGCATGCAAGACAAATGTATGGATGCACGCATGCTATCATACTGTATGCTAATTGAAACATGTCCTAGGCTAACCATCGAAAGCTAGTAAATAAAAGGAAAGAAAGACGTGGGGTTGGGAGACATACACACACTCACGCACACTTATTACACAATTGCCCTCACTCAGAGGGTCCGAATAAATATTACAGTCTGAATAAATAATACTAAATTAATTATTACAGAATTTCTAATTAATTAACAAATTAAATGCAGAAAGAAGGTGGCCACAGCCTCGCCTCAGGATGCGTGAATGATGCATGCTTGACTCGTCTCGCCCGGAAACTCGTTGCCATAGCACCGTTGCCTCTGTTTACACTGCCTTACCCCTCTAAAAATTCTGAAAGTCCCCAGAACTGCTCCTTGAGCGTTGTGGAATATTACCAGCCAAAAGAATATACTACCGACCATGGGAATACTCTCGCCGGCTAAATATTGTGCTCTCGGCCAAAAATTCTTTGTCGGTCAGCACTCAACACTGCCGGCCGGCCAAATATTCCTACTGAAACCTGCAGTTGACAGCAGCAGAGGGCAAGCAGTGTATGGCATAGAATTTTCAAGCAAATGTATGCATGGACACACTCCCTATCATGTTATGGACTCAAGGGAGCGTGGCCCTTGACCCTTGGGGCATCAATTGCGCATTTCGACGCATGATGGCCTAAGAGGCTAAGTTTGCAATTCAATGTGAATGAATGCAACAAAAGAGATGAGTGCCAACACCCTATCATATTGAAGTCAAGGGCATTGGCTACCGAGGGTTGAGATGTGTTTCGTCACTTGGAGTACGGACACTCCTCACCCCTCAAGTTTGGTTTGACACCCCAAACCAAACAATGCAATGTATGTATACAAACTTGGCTCAAAGATGCAACATGAGGCTAAGATGCAAAATATGCCAAATGTGATGCAAGCTAAACATGCAAATGTACAATGCTAGGTATGTAAAATGCAATGCAATACAATTGAACATGTAAGCTAAGACATGAAATGCAACTAGCTAATAATATGCAAGCATGCAAGTATGATACAATGCAAACATGAAACCAATGCAACATGATCATGCAATGGTGGACCTAAGACACAAAGGGCAGACCTCAACCCACTCCCAAAACAGTAACCAGAAATGCCAAAAAAGATGGATAAATGTTCACGCAAACATGCATACTAATAGGCCCAAAACAAGGAGCATTCTACTACAACTACCCCAAACCCTCATGACATGCATCATGCAACCAAAAATAGAGTTTTAATGTACCAAAATAAGTCCCAAAACCCACTGTTATGGCAACTCAAAGCCTAAAACACATAGGCATGTACAATGCTCATTTCAAGGCACAACAAAACAACTCCCCTAAAGCATGAAAGAGATGATGAGTGTATGCATAAAAGCATGATTTATGGACTGAAACATGGTCCCTAATGATTCCAAATCATGAGAATAAGCTAGGCTAAGCATGCTAGAGACCCACATGCTCAAGGCTCACAAGCCAAAATGCAAAGAGGCTACCCTAAACATGGCAAATATGACTAAAACAGCCCCCAACAGTCCTTGAGCATGGCAAAATAATGCTAAGACCTTCATGGAGTTAAGCTAGAGCATGCAAGAATCATGGCCTAAATGCATGGCTTACTTCTAGGCAAAATGGAGAAATGCAAGGCAAGTATACTATGCATGTAAGAGACCACAAATCTGACCAAAAACAGAGGCAATAAGTGACCAAATAACATCCAAAAACTTCTGAAATGGGGCCAAATACAACCAAGCATACATGCTACCCTTATGAACCAAAAATGAGGGCAAAAGAGAGATAAAGGGAGAGGGGTGTCCCTCCCCTATGCAAGACCTCAAAACCTCTTCTTTACCACTGAAAATCCACTGGATTTCAGTGGTGAGAAGGCTAATACTCAAGGGTAACCAAAGCTTAGCAAAGAGAGCACCAAAAGGGCCAAACAAGGCCTAAGAGGGGGAGATCGACCCCCAACACCAAAACAACCTTAATGAAGTATCTTAAGCATGCAAATACAAAACTTTTTTCAGTTATACACATAGTCTAAAACAATGAGCAAGATAGGAAAAAAGTCTAGTGCAAGATTGGGGAATCTAAAGTAAAAGAGTTACCCTTGAAGAACCCTTGATGAACAGCAAGTGCAGCCTTCTTCTTTTGATCAAAACCAGTCCAAAACCTCAAGAACAAACCCTCAATGTCTCTCAAAGTCGAAGTAAGGTGTAATGCTATCTGTTTTAGTGCAAAACTAAGAACAAACACACACTTTAGGCCCTCAAACACACACAAAATGAAAAGAGAGAGGGATATATAGAGAGAGAGGATGATATATAGATATATATGTGTATAGCTCTGGTTTTTTGCTGAACCAAACAAAGGAGGAGGAGGGGCTCTTATATAGGCAAGGTAATTGGCCAAAGCTTCTGAGGGAAGCTACTCAAAAGGGTTAAGGCTTACAAGGGAAGCCAAGCTAAGGGTGCAAGGCTTCCTGAGGAAGCTAAGGCAGCTGGCAGGCTTCTTGAGGAAGCTTTGACAAAGGGTCAAGCTTCCTCAAGAAGCTTTGACCAAAAGGGTGCAAAAAGGGCAAAACAGCCACCTGTATGCCCCGGGGCAGGTTTGGTGCATTCCAGCTGGCACAGCTGGCATGCACCATGCCTGAAAAAGGTAAAAAGGTTCTACCGGCCAGAAAAGGAGGTCACCGGCCAAACAGATGGCCGGCCGGCCATACTGAGTGCTGACCGGCCAATGGTATAATTCACCAATGGCTGGTAGCCTCAAAACATGGCCGGTGGCCTCAAACCAAGGCTGGTGGGTGTTAGGGGTAGCTAACAAGCTACTTTCTTCCCTCAGAAGCAAAAACACAAGTGTTTGGTGCAAAAACACAAGTGTTTGGTGCAAAAACACAAGTGTTTGGTGCAAAACCAAACACAAAACAGTCGAGTTGAGAGATCCTGAGGTAAGGCGCGTAGCCGAGACCTCCGGGAACTCAAAACGAAACACAAACATGAGTAATCACCGAGTGTTCGTGCGGTGACGTCCAAGTCATGAGGACGGTCAAAAATGGGGTGTCTACAGTGTCATATATGGAAACCATCCAAGTAATAGAAAAATGCCCTATCAAGCACCTAATTGGACAAAGGTAAGTATCTTGTATGAGATACCCTATTGGAAGAAGCGAAAACTGTGACACAACATTGATGTCATGCATGTGGAGAAAAATTTTAGTGAAAATGTTTTCAGAACTATGTTAGGCATTGATGGAAAGAACAAGGACAGAGGCAAGGCACGGTTAGACTTGGAAGATATGGGTAAAAGGAAAGAGCTATAGGTATAAGGAAAGATATGACTGTTCATTTCTTGATTTATAAAAGTTTGAACATATTGTTTTGGATGATTTGATATGGCCACCTTGAATCAGATAAGCATCTTTGTCTTTCCCTTTTTAATGAATTAATTAGTTATGGTTTTCATGTTTACAAGTTGTACTGGTTCATTTATCTTTTTATGTTTTGTCTTTTTTCTTTTAATTGTTTTATAATGAGCTATGTGTGTGTTCAAGGTGTTACTATAATCAGCTTTCTTACTTAAGAATTCACAGTTCTGAGAGGTTAACCTTGTAGATATAAGAGGGACTCCCAAATACTTAATAGAGAAATGCCCTTCAGGAATTGGTAAAATCGTTTTTAAATTAACATTTGTAGTCTTAGACTTCTGTAGGTTAGGCTTCCACCCTGCTAGCTGCAGCCTATGTTGATTGTTGTGTTCTTTCACATCTGTTGTGATTCTTTTTTGCAACAGCTGTGTGGTTAGTTATTGTCTTTTTATTGTTATAGGTGGCAGATCTAGTTAGTTTGGTAATATAAACTGTGTTTGCTTTTTGTGGGCCCTGTTTTAAGTTGCACCTACTGGTTTTTTAGTTTGTATTTCTTTAATGTCTAATTTGTATTAGCTTCCTTTTGGTTGGTGGACAGTGTTGTTTAGTTGTTAGGCTTTGTTTTTTTTTTTTTTTTTTTTTTTTTTTTTTTTTTTTTTTTTTTTGCAGGATTAGTTTGATCTACAAGGCAATCAGAGTGATGTAGCAAAGGCTTTAGACACATAGTTTGGTCGGCGATTGAGTGGCTTTACCTATAAGTTGCACAAACAATACAAGCAATCTAAGGATGCAAAAGGGGAGGAGTAAGCAAGAAGCCACCCACCTGCAAGTGTTACTCTTAATCAGTGAACATCTCTAATTGACAAGTGGAATAGTAAAAAATTAAAGGTAAAATGTTTTATGTTAATTGTCAAAAATTAAGTTTCTTCTAACTAATGTTAAGTTTTCTTGTTTTTATTGGTGTTTTAATTGTGTAAGAACAATCACTAACTAATGTGAATAATAGGATGCAAATGAAAACAAAACATCGATGTGGATCAAAATCAATCCCGATAAGGGTATACAGCTCGGTGCGTTCTACTAATTGATTTTATTGGATTAGTAGGCTTTGTTATTTAAATATTTGAAATAACATTCAAAAACAAATGAATCAGATAATTGCAAATGGAAAAGTACCCGATTTGGTAGAATTTTACAAGTCCATCCACTATAATTCGGACATGCATGAATGGATTTTTTCGAAGAGCCAAGTTAATTATGTATGTACAAGGCAATGCATATTAATTTGATAAAATTATTTATTTTGCTGTGTATGGTAGAATAACTAATAATTGTTTGATTTATTTCAAATTAATAGGACAACATGATACAGATGCAAGCAGAACACCTCTCGCAGACTGGTGCAATCCCCTTCACCCCAGGGGAGTTGTCGGTCAAGGTGCTTAGGCCAAGGTCCGGTTATGTGAAAAGACTCGACATGAGGCCTTCTTCTTCAATGAATACAACTGTTGCACCTGTTGAAAATAATGACTATGTTCAACCCCTTAAGATACAAATACCATAGCAAAATAAACAAATTGCAAGGTTTCAAAAGTTAGAGAAGAAACAAAGCAAGATGATACAAAGTATCATACTGTGTTTGAGCCAGAAAGGTATCAAGGGAAATTTTCAGAGTGGGGAAAGTTTAGATTCTGATAGACAAGCTTCTTGGTTAGTATATTACGTTTCTATGCTAATTTAGTAGAAAATTTCTTCTTCAACTAGGGTAGAATAAAAAACTACTTTGACATTTAGGCGCGAAAGGTCCTGGGAAAGTAGTGAAATATGCACGTAAAGGCCCGAGAAACATCACAAACACCTTTAGACGACGCAACATAAGTTAAGCAAACTTACGAAACAAGCACATGGCTCCCGATTTGAAAACTACTTTGAAATTTGCACTATTCCAACACTTAAGAATGAAACTAAGTCAAAAAATGTACTTTTCCAATACTTAGGCTTGAAAACAGGCCATTGGGCGCCAAAATCGTGAAACAACCATGAGAAGGAATTGGGAACACCCCGAACACCTCGAAAGGGACTATTATAAGTTGTGAAAACTTACAAAACTAGCACGAGACTCCCGGTTTGAAAACTAAGTCAAAAAATGTATTTTTCCAACACTTAGGCTTAAAAATAGGCCATTGAGGGCCAAAATCGTGTAATAGTCGCAAGAAAGCCCGGGAAAAGCCCTAAACACCTCAGGAGAGACCAATGTAAGTTGTGGAAACTTATGAAACTAGCACGAAACTCTTGGCTTGAAAAATGCACCTTTCCAACACTTAGGCTTGAAAATAGGCCATTAGGTGCCAAAATTGTGAAACAACCACGAGAAGACTCAGGGAACACCCCGAACACCTCAGGGGGGACCAATGTAAGTTGTGAAAACTTACGGAACTAGCATGGGACTCCCGGTTTGAAAACTAAGTCTAAAAATACACTTTTCCAACACTTAGGCTTGAAAGTAGGCCATCAGGGGCCAAAATCATAAAACAGTCTCGAGAAAGCCCGGGGAACACCTCAGGAGGGACCAATAAGTTTTGAAAACTTACGAAACTAGCACGGGATTCCCAGTTTGAAAACTAAGTCAAAAAATATATTTTTTCAACACTTAATGTAGAGACCCTAATTTTTGTAATTACCATTAAATCCTAACCTTAAGCTTATTTTAATAAAGCCCTTTAATTTTCGCTTAATTGTGTTTTAAACCTTAGAATTAGGAAGCATTGAGGATTAATTCGAGTAAACCCTAATTGATCTCGGTAGATTGATAATCACCTTTAAAACTCTATTATTAATTATTAGACCCTATAATTATAGATTAATTACTTTAAAATCTTAATTCTCGGTAATGTTATTTTCGCTCTGTTTCTCGCCTTTCTTTGCACTTTAATTTAACGAGACCCAAATTTATTATTTTAACTATTTTCTATTGTTAGCATATTAATAATAAATATCAAGGTTTCATAAATTTAGGCTTGGTCCCCATATACTTCTATTTTATTTCATTCCAAACCTTAATTGTAATATTTTATTAATTAATGTTATTGTGCCTATTATTTTATGTTTGTAAATACAAATATCTCATATATATATATATATTTCTTGGAGCCCAAGTAGCTAGCCATGTGATGGATGAAAGGGCTTTGATGGCACTTTGACAAATTTGCATTTAGGGAACTTAGTCCCTAAGAAACCTCCCAATCATTTCTCTATATATATGCACACTTCTCCCCCTCATTTTACACAATTTTCAACCATGCACTAGAGAGAGAGAGAGAGGGAGGGGAGAGAAGAGAAGAAGAAAAAGAAGAATTGTGTGGAGTCTTATACAACAAAGGTAAACCTACATCACCTCTTCTCTCAAGTTCTTTTACCACTTGTTTTTCTCCTCCTAATACATGCTATTTGTATATATATATATGTTGCAGTCTAGGCCTACACTCTTGTATAAATGTGCATTAATCAATAAATGGTGTGCTTCTCTTTTAAGCTTGAAGCTGCTCATTCATATGTTGTTATCTTGTTATTGCTTATTGCATCTGTTATTGCTTATTGCATCATCTTGCATAATCATGAGCTTTCAAAATAGTTGGCTTCGTGAAGCGTGTGAGTCCAGCTTCAAAGTATCTTTGTGTATATCATTTGCATCCTACCCCAGAACTACACTGGTTTGATTCCTAGCAAAGGGATACGTAGGCAGCTTGCGAACGCAACCATTTAATTTATGTCTTGATTGCTTGCCAAGTATTACAGCCTTGTCAAAATGGGTCATCTTTGGGCTTTGACATTCGCTCATGACTTTAAGTTCTGTCAAGGAGAGGCAACTGTAGACACCCCATTTTTGACAGCCCTTACGACTTGGGCACCACTGCTTACGCACCCAATGATGAATTTGCATATGCTTGTCAAGTGCTCGAAGTCCTAAACAGAATGCCACAACTTTGAGCCTTCAAAACCTACACACCTTGTGACTTATGTTAGACCAAAAACTACAGTTTTTCAAGCCTAAAAACCCTTTGGGCTGCCAGCCATTTGCGTGGCTTGCCAGCCACTTGTGTGTTTTTACAAATATTTTCGCCAGCTGTTTTCACAGATGCATGCACTTGCCTACACGTGTATATATGGATATTTCTAAGGGAATTTCATGTTTTTCTATAAATAGAAGACCTCCCCTTCTATTTTTGAGGGTTGGAAAATTTAGAGCAAAATTATTTCTCTCTCTTGCAAATTCTTAAGCCTTTGCCTGTACACTCTAAACCAAACCCTGTAGTATCTGAGTTAAGTCTATTTTGAGCATACTTTGAGCTCTTGAGGGTGTGTAAGTGTTGGTTTAACACCTAGAAAGGGTTTTCCTCTTCAACAGGTATAAGTCTTGGCTTATTTCTTTGCTTTATTTGCTATTTTGCATACTGTTTTTAGACTGTTTTTAGGCTGTTTATACTCTGAATTTTTGGGCTGAAACTTGTAGTTTAAGGCCATTAGGGGTGTAGGGGTAGATCACCCTTCTTTGTACCTCATTTGTTAGGCCTTTGCCCTTGTGTTTCCCACCTCTTTGTCAACTTTTTTTGAGATTTTTAATACTGAATCTTAGAGGTTTCTCAGTGGCCAAAACCATTTTTTGATGTCCCAAAAATGGAGAATGGAGGGGGTAGCCTCACCTCCTTGTGTTTGTTTACTAGCTTAACTTGCTCCACGTTGTAGCTTTTCATTTTAACTATTTTTGTCTTAATTCTAGCATGTTTTAGGACTATTTTAGAACTTTTTTAGGACTATTTTTGGTTGTTCATTGCATTTGAGCCTTTATTGCATACTTGTAGTGTAATTGTCCTCATAGGCTTAGTAATTTAGGCCTTAGCCGCCAACCTATTTGAGTTGATAGTGTTTATTTCTAACCTATTTGAGTTGATAGTATTTATTTCAAGCTTTTCATACTTGTTTTCATCTCTAATCACCTCTGCAACCTCCCTCATTTCTTGGTTTTTTCTTTACTTTGAAAGTTGTTTCAAACTAGTTGCTTGTTTAAGCATGAGATTAAGGTATTGTGCTTAATGGTTTAATCCCTTTGGGGGTTCATTAGCAACGGCATGACACTTCTCTCATGCCTAAAACAACACTTGGTTTGGTGCTCCTTTCCATTAGAGGACTTAAAGCTCACTTTTGGACTCAATTAACAAATGAATGGTTGGTAATTAAAATGAATGTAATAAAATTGGGATTAAAAATGATGCAAGATAATAAAATTAATTGGGGGTTCAATCGAACGTTAATTGAATCCATTGAGTCTTGAGTCGTTTTATACTTGTTAGTGATGAAAACGGTTCAAAAGTCAATGTCAACCACTTCCCTTGATTAATCCATGATAGGAAGGAGGTTTGGGAGTCTTTATTTGTGCATTTATTGAAATTGTACACCTTGGTTCATAGGCCATCATGCAATAAAATTGCATCGATTGATGGCTTGTGAATTGAGCTTGTCAATCCTTTGAGTTGTTTGATGATAAGGAGGGGTAAGATGTATAAACGTACCTTAAGAATACCCTGTTTGTGCTCTGTATGCTTTCTGTTGTAGCAGGAAGAACCAAGCTTCAGTGGCCGGTAGGCTACTATTTATGGCCAGTCAGCCACTACTTTTGGCCTGCCTGCCACTTTTGTCAAATTGAGCAGCAACTTTTTGGAACAGAACAGAGCAGAGGCTGAGATGAAAAAATGTTCTAACTGTGCAACAAAAGTATTCTGACAGCAGAACAGTGAGCTTTTCGGGTGAAAATTTGTGCATGCATGAGCATTCCTCGCTTCCCGGGGCTGATTAGTTAGCATAGTTACTTATTTCATGTTATATTCATGTTGTAATTAATTAGTTGATTCTAATTTATAATTAATTAATTAGTTAGCTCCTTGGAATAGTTAATTAATTAATTGGTTTTGTAATAACTAGCTAGCATAGTTAGTTTATTCGGTTTGTAATAATTAGTTAATTCATTTTGTGATAGCTAGTTAATTAGCTTAGCTGGTTAGTTTATTCAGACCTTCCTGCGAGAGGGCACAGTTGTAATAATGTGCATGTCTTCCAACCCCACATCTTTCTCCTTTTTATTTACCTGCTTATGATGGTTAGTTTAGGACATCATGTTTCTTTTAGCACCTCTCATGCCTTGTATCCATTGTCTTGCTTGCATTGAGCCCGGCGCATCATTCTAACTTGCATTGTTAGTTAAACAT